CCCACACTCACTAGCACTGACTATGTTACCTAGTCAGGTAATGAAATGTGTGCAAGAAAACAACTAAGATCAGAGCACCAAGAATCCTACAGCTCAACTCTGAGTTACATATATTCATAGCAGGCAGCAATTTCAGATTAGGTTTTCTGGCATTCCCCCCATCCTGCTGTGGCAACCCTAATCGTTGTATGTGCACCCTGCAAATATATGAAATTTAAAGATGCATTTTATGCTGCACCTGTTTAAGCACAGCTTTCCTTAAACAAACATTTCTTGCGTTTGATAACTTCTCTCCCCTTGCTTTCTGAACCCAAGATGAACCTTTCTTTGCTGCTTCTTTCAGCTTTGCTCTGCCAGCCACCTCTAGCAAAAGCAAATTTGTGTCCCCTGGGATTGCCTCTTCCCCCAACAGTCCAGCTGTTGTCATTATGAAAGCCTTTGACTCGGTCTGGATGGCAGCAGCTCCCAAGCTATCCATCATCCAGACGGACCAAAAAATGGCACCATGGTGTTTTAAGAGTAGCCAGAAGGGAACTTGATTCCCTTTCAGTCATTAAAAACAAAGGTATTTCCAAATGTCCCTTCTTCCAATTAGAATTTCTTAGCAAGCCAAAGTGGAGAAAATCAGGAAATCATCACCCAGAACTAATCATTTGTTCATTAGTGTGTTCCTTAGACAAGGCCAAGATAAATCAAATGTCCCCAGGAAAAGGAGCCCATTTTTTCTTTCCTACATTTTTTATCTGCTGCTAATCATTTATGCCCACATGGCTGCTGGATAGGCTAAAACTGTTTCTTATGCCAAACTTCCGTGTTTTTTTTTACAAGCAACACTATTTTGTTTTATGTGTACATATTTCTGACAGGACACGTTTAATGGCCAAGTGCTTCAGAACTTTATTGGCTTGCCCTCACAACAACCCTGTGAGATAGGTCTTTTGTTCCTACCCAAAAGGTGAAGAATTGGGTTGACCAGAGTGACTCATCAAAGGCCCAAGCAGCATTCCCCAACCGGGTGCACTCCAACTGTTCAGGCACATCATGACATCACTATAGCTTCCACTGGGCAGCTTGGATGTTGGAAAACCGCTCCTCATCCCAACCAGCACATTGACACATCCAGAGGATTCCAGGTTGTGGAAGGCTAGTCTGCAGCCAGATGACAGGACTAGGAGTCCTGAGATCCACCTCTGCTCAAGCTCTACCTTCTATCTACTGAAACATATATTCCTCTTCCTAGTTGCTTTTTTAGAATCCAGTTCTACACAGGTTAGAATGCTAACAAGACAATTCAAAATATTTTTCTTCTAGCCCTGAAATCTGTAGAGGTATCTTCCCAAATCTAGAAGCAATTCCAGTTTTAGCCAGCTTCTTGCGTTGTGAGCTGCAAGAAGACTGAACCGCCATGGAAAAGGAATTGCCTGGCATGCAATGGGACTCAGTTTGTATCCCTGACTTAACTAGAGCCCTGCCTATCATTGGGCTCTAGTTAAAGGCCCAAGAAGGAAAGGTCTCTCCCAACAAGGGACCTCTTGCTGGCTAGAGCAATCAAAGCTGAGTTAAACATCCAAACTCTTACACTTGGCATCAAGCATCACTCCCGTTCCTATTGGAATGCCGTGTATTTTGAGTCATTCTGTCCCTTCTGGGAGTGAATCAGGAAGAGGGGGATACGTCCCAAGCTCTGGCCTATGACATTTGGGGCCTGCCATATCTGATCCAGCAAAAAGAGCCACTGGAGAAATTGCAAGGAGCAGGACTGCTCTGCTTGGACTGGCTGCTTTGAATGTGTTGTAGTGAGCCACTGGGTGGAGGAGAACGTGCACTAGAAGATACAGAGAGGGCTTTGCTATTCCATACTGCTGAACTGGCAGACATGGAGAGGAAGAGCAAAAAAGTATCTCTATTTTATTGAACTGACATTCTTGAAAAAAGGTACCGACATATCGAGGAACAGCCAATTTATGGTTTTATTAGGGTTGGGGGGTGGCAACTGAAGCCTCCAAAATATGACGCCCATTCTATTGCTTCTGAATCATCTTTGTCATCTCTATCATCTCAACTTCACACAATCACTGGGTGCATGCATGGCCTTCAGCCCTTGCCAGATCAGAAAAGGCATCCCAACATATTATGTGCTACACATCACATTCTAGCACTGGTTGGAAGCCATTGATCTTGGGAGCTTCTCGTTTGGCCGTCCATGGTTCTAGTTTGGTGTTCCTTGCAGCCATATTGTTTTGTTTACAATTGGCTGGAAGTCTTGGGCCCCCTCGTCTACAATCTTGGGATGCTATGCTAGGAAGCCTCTCTTACTAAGACATTGCTTTTTATGTAGTGTGTGTATGTGTATGTGTGTGTTCTACAAAAATAGTGTTTAATATCCTTAAGATAACAAATTGTTCTCTATGGATTAGAAGCCTGAAACTAGAAATATTTCAACTGCTTTTGCACTTCTTTCCTGCTTACCTACTATTTACTTTGTGGTATACTGCTACTCTGAAGTCATTGACATGAACTGTCCTCCTTTTTTCTCACTTTTACATAAACTTAAGGAGGGTCATTAAAAAAAATAAAAATATCCTCCAAAATGTTTTGGAAGATCAAATTGAAGCCCTACACAGAGGATATATTTACACTTCCACCAGGTAAAGTGATGAGACAATGACTCCCAAAACATGTGAGCCAAAGAGGCAAAGCATCTTGGTCAAATTAAGTTGTAGTATATCAGAAACAGTAATCACTTAATTGTAATAAAGCTAAAGATTTCTTGCTATAGCTTTCATTTCACCCTCTCAATCTTTTGAAAGAAAGAAAAGGCCAGAACTCAGTAGAAGATCATTTGTTTGGTATGCAGAAATTCCCAATTTCTGGCTTTAGCCAATATTGGTGAGTGTAGCCTCTTCCCGAAACCCCTAACAGTTGTACTGGCTCAGGATGGATAATAATTGGGAGAAGTAACCAAAAGCTCAGCTTAATACATGTCTCTTGTCTTTTTATGGAAAGCAAGACAAGAGGTCTTACTAGTTTAGTTAACTGGTGTGGGAAAAGCTGAAAGTCAGAAGCACATTTTTATTTCCAAGGAAATGGAACAATTAATTAGACCAGCCTTCCCCACCTGTAACTCTCTCCAGATGTATAGAAATATTCCTATCATCCCCGTTGACTGGGAAGAATGGGAATGATTGTCCAACTCAACTGGAGAGAATCTGATAGATCAGACTGAGTTAGGCAATTTGTTGGCTAGTTTGCAATGCATATTTGGAATTTTGAACCTCTTGGAGGGAGTTCCCTTGAAATAGCTGCTAGAGACTTGCCTATTTTCAAAACAGCTTCTGCAATGGACATAGCCAATGAGAAAATAGTTCTTATTATGCTCCACAAAAAATGGTGCCCAACTGGATTTTTTCCCCTTAAGTCAATAGATATATTTAAAAAAAAATACACGTGACCACCATGTTTATTTTCCAAGAAGAGAAAGGAAATATCTGTTGAATCTAGAGGTTTTTTTGTAACAAATAGAAAATAATAGAATGTTAGAGGGTGGTTCCACAGAATGCCAGCTTTCACTGGAAGTGCTAAATTAAAAAGAAGCGAAATGGGGTAGGGTGCTTTGTGGACGCATAGATGTATACGGAACTATCAGCCCTAAATTTTGCTGAGTCCCAAAGCAGCTGAAAAGGGAAATGCTCCAAACTCTTGGCTTTTGTCCGAGTGCACAAAAAAGTGTACTCTAAACTTTAACCCAAAGGTACTTTTTCACGAGGCAACTGGACTTCCTTTTTTTTTTTTCTTTGAAGACGTTTCACTTCTCATCCAAGAAGCTTCTTCAGCTCTGGAAGCTTCTTCAGCTTTTTTGCGGAGCTGAAGAAGCTTCTTGGAGGAGAAGCGAAACATCTTCAAAGAAAAGAAAAAAAGAAAGCCCAGTTGCCTCGTGAAAAAGCACCTTTGGGACAACCATGACCTGGATGACTGAGACTCTCCATAGACATCTAAACTTTAGCTCAGATCAAAAAGTGCTTTGCCTCAAGGTATCAGGAATTTGGGCACAACGATCACGCATTTACCGCTGGTTCATTGCCATCCTTTGATGGCTACAGCACCAAGTAATGATCTCTCACAGATCAAATGTACACTGACCATTTCCATATCACTTTGGGAACATTGCAAGACAGTGGAGAGGTTTTTAGCTGTGGGAGCTGAGTAAATAGCCATGTGAAGTATGCCATGCATATGTGACAATTGCTTAGTACTTTGATCTTTATGGGTCCCCCACTGAGCTGATGAAAGCACTCTTCTACCCTCCTGACTGTTCTTCCACTCCCATTTGCTTCACAATGAACAAAACAAAGCACACGTCTCTTGGGTAAGTAACTATCTAGTTTGGCCCTAAGCATAATATACTATATATACATGACGTGCTCCTTCATTGTACTCTACCTACATAGTTACTCTCCTGTTTATGAGGTGGATTGCTTCTAGATGGCCCCTTTGTTAATTAAGCAGAGCCAATTATTTTCAAAACCATGAGCTTCAGCCCAGGAAATCCCACATCTTAGAAGAGGCTTCCTAGTGGGAGATTGACAGGCATTATTTGGGTTCAAAATCACCCTCCCCAAGACAATATGGGAAAGGATGACATTTTGATTGCTAGCATCAACATGAAAATTAAAACCTTAGGACCATTATTGGCATTCAGCCTGTCTTGTCCCCCACTCTTAGTGGAGTCATTGTTAGTTTCATCCTTAAGAACATGCAGTGCAATGGAAATGAAGTTGCACAAATGCATGGTTTTTAGAAAGGCTGCAACATGCTGTGAGTGGGATGTGTTTGGCTGTGTGTGTGTTTCTCCTTTTGGGGACCGGTTGTATAAAGCAACACTGCCATGTGAATGCACAACAGGGGCAGGCCGCAGCAGAAAGACTTTTTTTTTACTTGCAAAACTCCCTTTGCAACCAAAGTAAGTCACTGGAGAACATGATGTAGCTTTGCAGCTGGATTCAAAATTCATCTTCAGAGCTGTCTGCTAAAAGCATCACCCGGTCTTGCATGCTGTTGAATTCTCTCTGCTAGTTGGGGTGAAGAGTGAAAAAGAGAGACAAAAAAAAGATAAAAAGAAAAACATCAACAACAAGGAAAACAAACACACTTCCCCATTGTTTATTTCTTCCCTGCCTTGAAATATTCAGCTACTGCAGCTTTCTTTAACCTACTTTCTTCCACATATAATGGAGTTCAGCATATCCAAAGAGGTGAAAACCAATAAATCTGGAAGACACCAGATGGAGGAAGGCTGGGTTAGTTATAAACTTGGAGCAGCTCTATAGTAGAGTTATCAAGACCAAACAGGTGCTTTGTAGATATTTGGGATACCTTGCCCCATCTCAAAAGCTAGCAAACACAAAATGATATGAGATATAACAGATCGAGCAATAAGTTCGTTCTTATTGAACTAAGATGATTGGTTTAATTGCCCTGCAGCTTTTAACAACTTATAAGGTGGTAAACCGACTACAGCTGGATTTGATTTGGGGTTAACATGTGCTGCCCTGTGCTGCAGATTTCATTCTTGCTTTTGCAGAATTCATCTAAAATAAATACTAATACAATATTGTGTCTTTTGATTAATGAGGCTGGAGGACAATCAGTTCTGGGATTTACATGGTACCCTGAGTTCAAAACATTCCTTTTCCTTAGAGAAGAAAATGTCCAGCTCTTGTTGTGACAAAGGTTTGGCCGAAAAGATTATGATATATTGAAATGTCATTGATAAAAAAAAATCCTCCTCTACAAAGGTTAAGAAAACCTGACTCAGTTACACCAATTCTCCAGTTTTTATAAACACTGCAGAATTCAAATTAAGCAGAAAGACAACATTAATTCTACATCACCTACAAACTACATCACCTACAAACTACATCACCTACAAACTAATTTGTGCGTGTTTCATTACCAATTTTTATACATTTTTTGGGACTGAGACTAGATTTCCAGTGTGCATTCTATCATGCTGTCTTCCCCAACTTAGTGGGTTTCAGATATACTGAACTACTATGCCAAGATGATGGAAACTGTGGCTGAACATTTCTGGAGCACATTGGATTGGAAAAGTCTGCACATAATCATGCTCTCTCTCTCTCTCTCTCTCTCTCTCTCTCTCTCTCTCTCTCTCTCTCTCTCTCTCTCTCTCTCTCTCTCTCTCTCTCTCGTGTGTGTGTGTCTGTATGTGTATGTACATGCGCTTTTGGGTCAGTTTTTTACTCCAAGCAAAGGTGGCAAAGTTTTCCAGAAGTGGTTTGCAATTGCCTCCTTTCTGGGGCTGAGACAGTGTGACTGGCTAAGCTGGCTTTGTGCCTAAGGCGGGACTAATACTCACTTTTTAGGCGCAAGCAATCATTCGGGGCAAGGAGAGAACTCAAGCCATTTCATAGCATTTAAAGAAGAATACCAACCTTTCGCTTATGTCTTTTAAAACCATTTCTGCGACGGCGGTTCATGATCTTGATGCTATAAAGTGCTCCCAGGATGAAAAGGGCTCCAGCAATGCCTACACCCACTGGGACCAGCATCCCAGACATGTATCCTGCCTAAGGAAGGAAGGAAGGAAGGATGGAAGAAGAATTGCAAGTAACCATCAGGTCAAGCTGGATTTTTTTTTTAATGCTTTTAATTATTTGGCCACTATTAATATTGCAGACCTCAAACAATTGAACTCTCTTCTTGCAGACATGTTTCCAGCTATTAGCAACCGTACCGCAAATTTGCTCTGCTGTCATTTAAACATAGAAAGTAATATGTGATCGTGTGATCCCCTTTTGTGACGTTTTGACAAGCAGAGTCAATGGGGAAACATAGTAATTGTGTTATTAACTTTACAACTGTGATAATTCACTTAACAACCATAGCAAGAAAGGTGTAAAATGGGGCAAAATTTCGCTTAACAACTGTCTCCCTTAGCAATAGAATTTTAGGCTCAATTGTGGTCGTAACTCAAGGACTACCTGTAATTCCCACGTTTTTAAACCACAGGAATACAATGCTATATAAATTGGAGCTGTGGTGGCACAGTGGTTAGAATGCAGTATTGCAAGCTAACTCTGCCAACTGCCAGCAGTTTGATTCTCACTGGCTCAAGGTTGACCCGGATTTTGGGGGGCAATAGGCTGTCTCTGTAAACCGCTTAGAGAGTGCTGTAAAGCACTATGAAGTGGTATCTAAGTGGTATTGCTAGTTGCCATTGCTGTGTTATAGGGCAAAGAACTGAAAAAGCACATAAAGTTCTGATTATACTCCATCTTAAAAAATGCAGTGGTTTCACATGAGCAGCAGTGGGCCATAAGTATTGGCGATACTGACACACAGTACCTTCAGCATATACAGCAGTGAACCCAATACATTTCATCAGTTCATCCTGATGTATATAAAGAAATATAAATATGTTATTTCTTTATATGTTATATAAATAAATATGTTATTTTTTCCTTCCAAAAGCTTTTGATAATAAATTTCCACTTAATTTCCATTTATCACCTGTCTTTTGTTCTTCAATTGGAATAATTTTGGAAAAATTCTGGTATTTTACAAGTTGCTTTCTTTCCCAAAGCAGAAAACCCTACACTTTTAAACATTTAAGACTGTTTAGGTTTCTTTTAGGGTGACACTAATTAGAGCAGCTTTCAGCAGAAAAACAGTTAACAAAGGATAAATATGAATGCTGATCTTGTACCATAAAACAAAACAGTATTAACAGTATAATAAAATTAAAACAAAATAATAACAAGAGCAATAAACTTATGGATCAATGTCTCAGTTTATGAGAAGCATTTAAATGAATTTTGCTGATAGGGAAGAAACACAAAGCATAAAATAAAGGCATAAACACTCTGCATATTCCCATTGCAAACAAGTATTTGCTTTAATGTCTTGGATTTTATGCTTATTTTCTCAGTTCATCCATGCTAGAAGTGGGTGGTGGATTTGTGGCACATAATATTTAGGAACAAAAGAAAAATAATGTGAATATAAAACTTCCCAGATAAAAGTACCAGCAAAGCAAAAACTGGTCTAGGCTGAAAGTTTTGCCCCACTATTTATTCTCACCCTCATTCTTTAGGGCAAGGGGAGGAGATAAGTAGTACTCCTTATTTAAGCTTAAGCCCAACTAGCCAGGGGGTCTGTTCCAGATTGTGGTTAAAAAAAAACAATTAAAGCTGGCACATATATGTATGACATATATAAAAAAACTGATGGAGCTTCCGTTGCACCATTGTAGCTAAGACCATCCCTTTTTTTTATCATTCCCCCTAGACAGTTGGAAAGGACCTGGGAGGTCATCTAGTCCAACCCCCTGCTTAGGCAGGAAACCTTATACCATTTCAGACAAATGGCTGTCCAGTCTCTTCTTTAAAACCTCCAGTGTTGGAGCACCCACAACCTCTGGAGGCAAGAACAGAGAGACCCCCTGCTGTAAGTAGTGATACTGCCACATTTCTAAATGTGCCAAGCTTAATGTAACATGTATTCAGTTTGTAGACAGACCTTCATGTAGGGCAGGATTAGACCAGCTTCTTTCTAGCCAAGGACAAAACCAAAACCGGGACAAGCTATTTCATACTGAATCATTACCTCTGAGGCAAGGGCCCTGGTCAATTATGTGACCAGGAGTGTCCACTGAGTAGGGTCATAAAAGTGAAGATGGCAGCTTTGAGACTGTTGTTGAAGCTTTGCCTGTTTCTTATATATGTCGCAAAAATGCAATGCACATTTAAAAAAGGCAAACCTTCAATGACACTGTTGAAGCCACCACCTGGATTTTTTGACCCTACTCTGTGAACACCCCTAAAAGTGATCATATCACTGGTTGGTGTGCCAGATTTGAGAGGCATTTCGGAGAGACCTTAATTGGATGAAATGAGACTGTCAAAAGCTTGTTCCTTATTCTCCAGGAAAAATAAGGCTGAAGTTTGAGGGTAACTTTGTTATTTATTTTGACAAAACAACCATTTTTTTTTAAAAAAAAATGCTGATTTGTCTTCCAAATTTTGGTTGCATGTGATTTTGGGTATGGTCTGGCAGCTGAATACAGGTAAGTCCTCAACTTATGTTGGTAATGGAGCCTGCGCAATTATGGTCATCAGTTGTGATGATTGTAAAGTGACTAACCCAGTATTGCAACCTTTGTTGTGGTTAAGCAAACACCCTGGTTGTTAAACAAGCCCATTGTTCACCATGGGTGGTTTTGCTAGAAACCAGAAGTAAATAACAGTTTTCAATAAAACCATCGTAAAAACACAGTCAAATGACCACAAGGTACTGCAAACGGCCAGTTGCCAAGACCCTGACATGTGGTCATGTGACCATGGGAGGAGTGGCCAACAAAACTTTAGAAATGGATTATATGTACCCCTGGGGAGGTCCGTTGTAACTTCAAAAAGTTGCTCAGCAACCAATCATAATTTGAGGACTATCCGAATAACATATAGGTTACAAAAAAAAAAAGCTCTATACCTAGATAAGCCTGTGTGGAAGGCCTAAGGCAGGGGTAGGCAACCTCAGCTCTTTTATGACTCGTGGACTTCAACTCCCAGAATTCCTGAGCCAGCCGGGTCAGGAATTCTGAGAGTTGAAGTCCACAAGTCATAAAAGAGCCAAGGTTGCCTACCCCTGGCCTAGGGAATGGCCTTAGAGGACAAGAGGAAGAGCTACTACAAGTTTGAAAAGAAGTCTCAGAAAAACCCTTCCCAAATTCACGCAAAGATAAGGAGGTTCAGGGCAGAAGCTCATTTAGACTTAGATTTAAAGGGTTCTGTTACTATAGCTGTTACAGAAAAAGTAGTTCTGATCTATATGGCATTGATATCTTAGTCTGGTCTACCTTATAGGACTGACAGTGGAGTTTCATGGATTCACGAAGCAGAAGTCAGCAGGGAGGAAAGGAAAGAGAATAAATGAGAAACAAATAGGTGAAGATATGTATACTGATGGGTCTAGCCCAATTCTGAACAACCAGCAAGGACTCTTTACAG